TCTCAGTCCCATAGAATTTGTTTTGATAACTTTTGATTTTGAAATTTTAGCAAAAGTCTTATAACCAATTTATGAGATTGAAAATGAAAAGCGTGGGGCGCATGCAATACAAAGCATTATATTTAATTGACAATAGGCAAACTACATAACATAGACCTAAAATTTCTTCAGCGAAAGTACAAATTTGAGAATCGATTTTAAGCGGTCGTTATTCATATATCCACATACATATGAACATATACTACCCTTCATATCAATTCAGGTGGCTATTATATGCGCCCCACGCTTTTCATTTTCAATCTCATAAATTGGTTATAACGACTTTTGCTAAAATTTCAAAATCAAAAGTTATCAAAACAAATTCTATGGGACTGAGAAATATTATTTTCTACTTTTTAGTCCATTTATAAAAGCGTTGTATATTAAAAAGTTTTTTTTTTATATTATTTAGTTTAAATTAAACGACTTAGCACGAGATAATATTGAATCTTTAAAACAATCTGCTGTTCTTTTCGGAGGCTCAAATGTTTCCCCTTGTGAAAGAGGTGGCTGACAACGAGTCGGTTTAGATGACTGTCTTTTTTCATCTGTGTCGTCACCAAATGACAGTACAACGGAAGAACTTACTTTCTCCGGACATAAGCGAATGGACTCCTTTTGTTTTCTTTCAAGTCGCTTGTTAAGTTTCACAGATGTTTTGCGATCAACGCTAGAAATTTTGCCCTCTCGGTTGGTTCTTTGATCATACATAAACTTTAGTTCAATGGAGGGAATTTTCCTCGACTTTACGCATGTACATGTTACAGTTACGGGATTTGAACAGACGCAAAGAGCAAAAGACCTGTCACAAGTGCAGTTTAATGTCAAAGCGCACTTGCAGGAAGCCACATCAAACAACCATGCCAATGAACTTCTAAACTCTGCAAGCTTTGATTGATATGTTGAGCCCTTACTTTTGTAGTCTCTTTCGAATGACTTTTTGACATTTATATACTTACTGTGATAATCCTGAATTTTTTTGATAATTCTATTCTTTGATACTACAGGAATAGAACCTTTTTTGTAAACTGCTTCGATCTTCTCTGACACAATGTTAGCTACATCAGAAAAACATACATTAGTCCTATTGATTTTCGACGAAAGGTTAAATCTTTCCTCATTGCAGCATCGTAGAATAACACCATTAGTAGGAAGTGCAGAGTTTGGCAAATCCTTAGGATTGCCAATTAGTGGACATTCAAATGAATGTCTTGTTATAGGTTTCCGTTTCTGAGTAGTAACCTCCATTTAAAGAAGAAACTCAAGGCCCAAAAAGGTACCGGTAGGATTATGGGTGTGTTAATATTTTAAATAAAGTTTTGCGATATATTGGTATTTAGTGAATCACTAACAAAAAATAATGAGAAAAACTAAATTTTATTTTATAGTAAACTGGAAATGCAAACGGAATGGCAAAACCTTAATTAATGAGTCAACTTCAAGAAATGAGTTTCAATACATTTGTAACTGTCGCTGCTAATATCAAGTAGGTAGTTCACTTGAGATTTGCGTTATATATGTATTAGATAAACCAGCCATGCCCAGAATTTTCGAAGGGAAGTGCGAACTTGGTTGCTTCTAAAATTAATCCTATGCATCGTTGCAGGGAATGTAGAAATTTAGCTTTCCAATATATGTACATACATACATATGTATGTAGTAAAAAATATCGTACCAGAACAGACTCGGTAAATACTCCATACTTTACAGGTAGCTTTACTTGGTGTATTGGGTAAAGTTTCTGTGAATTTGAATATGAAAATTTTACCGTATTCTACTGCAAATTTGTGTGAACGTGAGAGTTATTGTACTATTCAACGTTTGTCTATAGGAAATTTTCGAAGTAATTTGTGATTGTATTTGAGATTTGAAAACGAAAATGTAATTGTATTGGGAGCATAGAGTAAATTGCTCTGGTAGGGTGATGTGTTTTTTTTCCGCAGATATTTCTTAATTGATCGTAAAGGCATTATGTCAACTTCATTTAATCCAAAAAATAATTGCTTAAATAAAAATAATCTGAATCTCTTAATTTTTCTTAAATTTAAAAACTTTGGCCTCATTGCGCGAATGGAAGATATTCATCGATTTCAAAATTTTTTTCTGCGTTTTATTTGTCTTTAATTACAGCAAGTTTTCCGCGCTATTACGTCTTTAAATTCGGAAAAAGTGTTTTTTCGCTCCACTCTTATACATATGGGGCATTTCACCTCAAGTGACCCAACTTTTGAAATCTATGTCTTCCGATCGGGATGAAATTTGCACCAAGGTTAGTCCTAAAAAATAGTAGTTATGACACAAAATTTCAATGGGATCGGTCAAACACACTCCGAGTTGGAGGGTCTAGAATTTTGACATTTTGGTCAAACGGCCATTTTTTCGGATCCATATAACTAATTACCTATTGTATTTAGAAAATTTTTTCAGGAATGTTTTCGATAGATTTCTCTTCAGTCTTTACAAATTTTATTTTTTTT